TTATGTTTATGTTTATGTTTATGGTTATGGTTATGGTTATGGTTATGGTTATGGTTATGGTTATGTTTATGGTTATGTTTATGTTTATGTTTATGTTAATACAAGGGACTCTAATCCCTTCCTGAAGTACAATAGAGATATCCTTACTGAAAAAAAGCACAGTAGATCTATCCCCACTGCTACTTTTCCCACATACCTCGTCAAGCCCAAACAAAGTACTACACACTAACCCAAGGGGTAGGTACCCCAATTCGAAGCTATTAAATTCCTCTTTAGCAAATTCATCTGCAAGAAGTTGGCTGATCTGGGAATCCAGTTGTAGCTAGCACTTGATCTGGCAGCCAAATCTCTCGCCTCTTTGGCATACTGACCAAGTTGCCGAGTGGACCATCTTTCCATTTATTAACCAATTTATGGTTGTCTATGAGTCCCCTTCCTAGGAGATTCCCGTAGCCCAAGGATCTCCCCAATTTATGATTGTTGCTTTTTGAGGAGGGATCATTGCTTGGTATATTGGTAAAATCTTTGACCTGACAAGCATGAGTATGTGGGTTCAAGTCTGAGAGTAGCCACTTTGTGCAGAGAAAGAGAGAGAGAGAGACCCTAAGGTTAAGCCTGTATGTAGTCCACCCCTCCCAAGACCCCAGATAGCTAGGACCAACATTGCATTAGTGGCTCTTTCTTTCATTTTTTCTATTTTATTTGAGGAGTTGCATAGCTTTTTTTTGACTTTCCTGTCTGTTGTTTCTAGTGCTATCGGTTTTAACATCTAATCTTACATTTGTTTTAGAAGATTAACTACATAGTGTCGGGGTCTTATTTACTATTACCAAAGGTTTCAATCCCTTGTTATTTAGAAGTACTACTACTAATAATAATAAATTAATAATTAGTTTGTATTTTATATGGGAAGTTTTGTGCACAAACTTCATTTATTTTCCATTGTATATTATGCTTTATTGCTTTCCCAGGAAAAAGAAGTAAAAAAGAAAACTAATCGTGTAAATTTGTTGGCAGCTTTTGGAGTTGTGGTATTCCATGGAGAGTTGTAAAACAATGACAGTTCCAGCGCATGATGGGTTGATTGCTGCCTTGGCAAATTCACCATGTAATGAAATGGTTGCCTCTGCGAGTCATGACCAGTATGTGAAATTATGGAAATGACAATTAGGTTTCCCCACTCTTATAATTCCTTTCTCCTTTATATGGATGGCAATATTGAGTTGCCATCTTTTTCCAATTAGTCAGAAACCTTTCATCAACTCAAAGCTACTTAGTCTATAAATCCCATTCTAACAGTCGTAGTCAGCAGAAACTAATAAAACGAATGTGTATATGTTGGAAAAAGAGAAGGGTAATTATTCTTAATTTACAAATCAAATAGATGTGCATATTTGAGCAAATGTACTATGCTCTTTTTTATGACCTTGATAGCTTTTACATAAGTGAGCATGGATCAAAACTTAAGCCTAGTATTGGAATCTGGAGTTGATGCATAGCTGGGACCAACATTGGGTAATGACCCTTACATCATGTTATTTGATATCAGTCCGACAGTTAAAAGTTTGATAAGTTAATATGCCTTTACTTGGGATCTCTCCAATTTGTCCACCCAAATTTATGGATTGTTCCATTGACATTCACATTGGTACATAAATAAGGTGATTTACTGATATGTCTCAAGTGAATGTTCTTCAAATCAGGCAACCCGACTTGCAGCCTTAATTCGTTAATGGTGAACAGAAAATAAAGAGATGCGCTTTATGTGTATATAGATTTTCTGTACGTGTTCTCATAGAAGTGGGATATTCATTTTTATCCAATATGTTAAAAGAGGGAAACCAATCTTCTCTAGTTTCAGAGAATTCCAACTGTAGTGCATCACTTGACATGTCTGTGATTAACATACATTTAGAACGTTTTTCTCATAAAAGTTTAGAGTAATTCCATGGCACAGAAAACATCATTTGCAATATTAGTATTGTGGAAGACTGGGAGTACCATAGGACCGTAGGTCTTGCACATTCAAGCTGTAAATAGCATCTCAAGACCATTGTACACTTCTAAGTCTAAACAAAGGGTGCCAGTAACGAACTTACCTTTTTAGACAATTGATTAAAAAATTAAAATGATATTCATGCACTCTCTCTCCCGATAAGAAAACTCATCTTTTACATTCATTTGAGACGGGCACAATCTCTCTTTGTTGTCATAAAAAATAAAAATCAAGAAGATACAGCTTTCATTGAAGAAACAAAATGCAACTTACCGACATCAGAGTAAGTTGGTTACCATTCTTAGCCAATAGATTAAAAAGATACAATTCATACATACACTTTTGGTAGTGACAATGCAGATAAGGCTCCTGTTGGAAAGAGTGTAAATAGAAGTATGTTCAGTCATCAGTGCAAAACCCTATACAGTCCATATTTATATTTGCACTGAATATATTTGTATTTGCATTCGGAGCATAAATAATTTCATCCCTTGCCATTCATTTGAGACAAACATAATCTTTCTTTTTCTTATAAATATAAAAAATTAAGAAGGTGAAGCTTTCCACTGAGTAACTGCATTCAAGGTTCAAAATATCGACATATCGGGCAATATTGGTTGTTTTTTCTTTTAGTTTTTATTTTTAAATCTGGTTCAGAGGGGCCGGTTTAACCGTCCACCCCCTGGACTGGTCAAAACCCTGATATACCCTCTGTAGGGACTTATTGGGAAGCTCCTGATACGATACGTATCGGCTGATACTGGTCGATATTTTGAACTTGACTGCATTATCTTTTTTTCACTCAGGATCTACTACTTGCCACGGTGTGTGCAAAATCCTGCTTAACGAAGTGCAAAAATCTATATAACTAATCATGAATGAATACCCCAGTGTTCCGTACATGTGGGATCCACACTTAAGTGTATGGAACATTGGTGTGTTCATTTGTGATTGGTTATCTAACCCTTTACACATATTGTGGGAACCCGTAGATTCGGAATCCCAATTTTTAGCTAAAGTTTGATAATTGCAAGTGTACCCTATCTTTTAGAATCTTCTAAAAAGAGGCATAAAAATGTCTAAAATACTCATGCAATTATTGTTGAGGCTGGTTTCTACAAAAAAGAAGAAAAAAATACAAATTTTATAAACTACAAAAAAATAGAGAATTTAAGGTTGCAACTTTGCCTTTAAATGATTGATATGAAGGGCAAATTAAAAAAAAAAATCAATTTCAGAAATGAGATTGGAAGGGTTTGGGTTAACAGTTCATATGAAGAGAAATTTTGGAAAATACACATTTTGGTTAAATGTAACAATTTGGGTATTTTGGACATTTTCATACATCTTTTTAGAAGATTCTAACAAAGGGTGTCCATGAAAAACTGAACCGAACCACAAAATGCGGTTAACCAAACCCGTCAGTTTGAAATTTTTGAAAAACTGAAGGACCGTTTCGATTTTCAGTTAACCTATAAAAAAACGGATGATTAACCGAAACGACTGGTATATATATTTATATGTATATTTTATAAATATTTTTAATATATCACATATTTTCCATGTATTTTATATAAATATATATTCATTATATATAAATATATACTAATATTATATTTATAATGATCTATTTACAAATATATTATATATTTTTAAAATATTTATAATATATTATATATCATTTATTATTTATAATATAATATTATACATATATTTATATAATATATATTATAAATATAAAAAACCGAAAAACCGAAGAACCGAACCGGTCAAAAACCGAAACCGGTGGACCGGTTAACCGGTGGTACTAGTTCAGTTTCAGTTTGGCAAAATGAAAAAACCGGTACTACCGGTTCAGTTTACAAAAAAAGGCCATGGTTCAGTTAACCGAACTGTGGACACCCCTAAATATACGTGCAATTATGTCAAAAAGTTTAAGTGAGGCGATTACAATTACCAAACTACAGAGGAGGTTTCAGCAACAACAAAAATCTTCAGGGAGGATTTAACAATTTACCCAATTAAAAAAGAAAAACTAAACAACTCATGTACACCCAAATCCCTGGCACTCAAATAGCCTGCCCTTTACATTTCATCAGAGACAAATACATTAGATCTTCATTTATTTTATTAAATTAAAAATCATAGATTATAAAGCTCATATTTAAGAGATCCAACATGACCAACCAACCTCTCTTTATACGAGTAATTGAGTTACCATTTTCATTTCAGCCAAGGATAGTGTGTATGGCACTGGTGCGTTTTACAAGCGTTCTGTTTATAAGTGAGCTCCTGATTCACAAGTGTTTTATTTCATCTATTTTTTTTTGATAAATACAAAGACCCCTCTGTACTATGGGCTTTGTGACAAAAATCCCCTTGTACTTTATTTTGCAACAAAGACCCCTGTACTATGACCCTAAGACAAAAACCCCCTTCCGTTAACTTTCTATTGAAATTCGCGGTTACAATATTTTTAAATCTCCGTACAAGAAAAACACTGTTCTTCTTCCCCGATCTCACGATCCACGAACAGCAGCCGCGATAAGGGGAGAGAAAGGGGATCGGGGATTACCGCCGCGGCTGTTCTCTACCTCTGCAAATGGGGTTCCACTAGGGTGTCGTACAAGACAATCCTCTGCAAGTCCTTGGGCCGCTTCCATTCTCCTCTCTTCAACACATCCCGGAAGAAGCTCTGCTTCATCATCTCCTTGAGAACCGCCAGAGGGAATTGCTTCGTGATGAAGAACATATTCGAGATCCAGCTTCTAATTATCATCTGATTCTAAATTTATTTTCTGTCAGAAGACTAAGCTCTGGTTCTTCTCCGCTCTCCTTCCTAGTCTGATCTAATCACATTCAGTTCTTCAAATATTTGTAAGCAATTAAGAAAAGTCCAGTGAAACTCATTTTGTTTCAATGTCGCCAGATGGTGCTTCACACGCAACCTTTCACACTAAATTCACTTCCCTCCATCTTCCCCACTTCTACCTTCTGCAGAAATATCTTTCTTTTCTACTTTCTCTTCAATTGAACCCATTAGGAGGTCCACTTTGAGTCTTATAGAGAAAAATCCATTTCTCAAATCCTCGTATCAGCCTCTGAAATGCTCGTTTTCTGTAGTTTCAGAGCCCATCCAGAAGGGTTTGCAGAAAAAGCCATCTCCAGCTGAAGTTTCTCGGACAATAATGGAGCTAACCTTTGTAGGTACCCTTTCTACTCTAACCCAAGAAGGTTTTCCTCTCGGCATTGGTGTTTGCTTCGTTGTCGAGTCTCCGGAAGAGAATCACTGGTTGCTCTTGACATGTGACCAATGATCCGGTTGCTCTTCCGGCTATATGGAGCTTCCACACCGGGCTAAAACAAACAACAAAATTGCCAACTGCCATTTCTCACAATTCATGTTTCTTAGTAATTTAATGGAGAGAGAGAGAGAATTACCTTCATGGTGGTAGAAGGGTCTCCAGAGAACAAGCTTCTGAGCTTTAACAGAAACTCGTTTAAGTAAGGAAGAATTAGTTTTATTAACCAAATTGCCTCTTCTTCCCCCAGTACATGTGTCTGGTTTGAATCATCTATATCTGTAGTTCCCTTGTAATTTTTGAAAAAGGAAATAAGTGAGAATTAAGAAACATATCTAACTTCTTTATTTAAGTAAATTTAGTGGGTTTGGGAGATTTACCTGCAGAGAATTGATGTGTAGACAAAAATTAAAGCAAGATAGATGAGACCCAGATAAGACGTAGAAATTAAGCTGTTGAAAGTGAAAAAACAAGAAAATTCAGTTATGATGGGGATTAATGGGGGAGAAATGTCACTTCTCATTTTATTAGACTGGCACCCATTACCTGAAATTAAGGTCTTTAGTGAAGGAGGATGAAAGCAGGAAAAATGTCCCGATTCCAAACACAAATGCTGATCTCGATACGTCTCTCCACATGACTAAATCGACTGAATTTTTCAAAAAAAAAAAAATCAAGTAGAAAAGTGAAAAAATAAAGAGAATTTTGCTAAACGAATTAGAAGAGAGATTCACCAATGCTTTGTAATTTTCCATGGGTTTTTGGTTTACCGTTTACTTCTAAAACTTCATCCATGAAAGGCCAACAAATTTGAAGAAGTGAGATACAAAACAAAAAGAAAAATAGCACTTGAAACCAGGAACTAATATCACCGAACTGTAACCGGAAATGACTTACTTGGAGGTGATTTTCTAAGATCTTGATCAATTATAGGACGAACAAAAACAGAGCATCGCTGCATATTCACATTTGGAGAGATGGGTGCCGGTTGATCTGGAATATGGGGTGGCTGTTTATTCACAATTGGAGAAAGGGGCTGTGTGAAATTGGGGAAGATGAACAGTGTTTTTTTTTTTCAATTATCTATAAGGGTAGTACGGGGATTAAAAATATTATAAGGCAGATTTCAACAAAGCCAATAAAAGGGGATTTTTGTCTTACGGTCATAGTACAAGGGGGTCTTTGTCGAGAACAAAGTACAGGGGGTCTTTGTTACAGACCCCATAGTACAGGAGGGCCTTTGTAATTTACCATTTTTTTAATTTTGAAAAACACAAAAAAATCAGGATGCTGGTTGATGGGTGTTTAAAGTGATTTTACTTAATATTATAAATCACGCAAATAGTCCATCCCTTGCTATGAGATAGAATGCATAACATGTCTGTCTTTCAACCGATAGATTATATGGGGTGGCGAGCACCAGCGGGGTGTAAGCAAGGTTCAAAATATCGACAGTATTAAGCTTCCCAATGTGCCCTTACAGGGGGTGTATTGGGGTTTTGACTGATTCAAAAGGTAAATGGACCTTAAACCGGCTCCTTTGAATTGGATTTAAAAAAACCAGTACTGTCTGATATACCTCTACTGACGTATTGTACATATCAATATTTTGAACCTTGGGTGTAAGTGACAAAGCAGTTAAGCTATGCCTCTCTAGAAAGAGCAGAGGCAGAATCTCGAACCAGTCCTATCACCTTGAATTCTAAGATATAAGAAGAAATTAGTCCAGCCCAGGTAATTGATGGGAAAATGGTTCTATTCTTCATGGTTGGTCTTCTTCTTAATTGACTCATTCATTTTTAATTGGTTTCTACTCTTTTCATTCAAATTATCATAACCTTGTGAAGGATTTGTTTTATTTAGTTGTTTTTTCAGGATTTAAAATTGACAATGGCAGATTCCAACAAATAGGATTCTCAAAAGATGTTACTTGTTTTCTTTTAAAGATAAGCATTTGTTCCCAGTTCTTCTATTTGTTTTCTTGCTATTTTAAATTGTTTCTTTTATTTCTTTTCGTTCATTTAGTATCAATTTGTTTGGTTTTGGCTCTGGCAATGCAAGCTTGATTTTTATATACAGTAAAGGAGTAGATATTCCCTCTGAACCTGTAGGCAATACTGTATCATCAATTGTAATTTTTTTTTCTTGATTTCCCCTTTTTTTCCTAATAGATTTAATGTATGTATTGTAATAACAATTGCTTAATGCATATAGTGAAATACATGAATTGAAGTAGTAAAAAATGATTTAAGCATTCACAATTTAATTATATGGTGAAATAGGATTCATGTAACCAACCCCATATAATTGGAATAAGGGTTAGATGATGATGACTAGAAGAATTCAATGATCTTTCTTCTGTTGTTTTGAATATTGAGATGTTGTTTTTGATCATTCAGCAAGAGGGAACAATCCATTGCATTGCATGAATTGATGGTACTTTTACAAGATTGGTGGTCATTTTCCAAAACTCAAGATATACTTAAGTTGTCTACCTACGAAAAAGACAAAACAGTGAAGACTTTCACCAATCAAAACAAATTCGCATGGGCACCCACATACTATTCTAACAATCTTTTACAACCTTCCATTAAGAATATCTGTTAATAAAATAAAACATATAAGGACGGAGATATTTTCAAGACAAGGCAATAAAACCTGTTGGAATGAGCTTTACTTTGATTGAAGCATAATTCATACTTGAAACATCTACCATGACAAAAGATGTTCCTAATGCACGGTGAAATCTGCATCTACGTGGGACACCAACCTGAACTCAATAAAAAATTATACCCAAGAATTTAATGAAGTTTTATTGGTTACAACGAAGTTTTTGGGATATCAAAGTCAAGGCCAATAACAATCATCCATATCCATTATTTGTCGATAAGTTTTTTCTATTATAAATGGATAAGCATAAGTAGAAAAAAGTACCATTCTGCATGATGGAACTTGGAATTTCTTGGGAGTTGGGGACATTCTAGTCATTTTAAAATACTAAACGGTTGGTGCATTGATTTAAACATTTTAAAATATTCAAAGGGTTACATTTAAAGGAAACTTACAGCTTTGGGAGGGCTTTTGTACAGCGGCTTAGTGGCCTCACACGAAAAATTTTTAAATCTATTCTTGGTGAAAAACCTCTGGAGAGCTCAAGCTCAATTCATTGCAAGGTAGACCTTACACCGAAAGCTGTAAAGCCATTTTTGATAACGTTCAGACTCGGTTGTAGTTCAATCAACGCTGAAACCCTCCCAAACGGATCCTTAATAGTTCCTTCAAATCGGCTCAACCAATGCAGCATTGCAGCTCAAGCAAAGCGTTCGGCTAATCTGAATTACTCAGACTTGCCTCCTCTACTCACCCTACTGTTTGGAGTGGCATAGCAATGATTTTAGCAAGGAGGACGGGGCATTTGGTAAATTCGCGTTACCCTAATTTCTTCCTCTAAAATGTAAAAAGCTCTCTCGCCATTCCCGTTTTACTTCCCTGATACTCCGGGGAGAGAGTTGCTTTCTCGGCGACCCTCACAGGTCTCTCTCTCTCTCACTCTCTCTCTCTCTCTCTCTCTCTCTCCACTTAGTATAGTTTATAGCTTTTATCTTTCTGACAGAAAGTGTTTGTTCTGTTATTTATCTTTTTTTAAGTGTTCTCTTCGGATCAGGGCTTTAGAGTAGTCATGATTTTGATTGATCTCCTTGTTAATTGAACTTTGATACTCGTAGATATCTGTTCTGCTTTTTGATCTTTTGTGAATATTTATAACGCGAGCTTTGGTTGTATGTAATTGTATTTGGGTCGGTGTTTTTATGCTTTCATTCGCACTTGTTGAACGACGATTAATGTAGTTATTTTTCTATTAATTAATTCAATGTCCAAGGAGTTCTGAATTGGAGCTGCTTATGCTATTCGAACTTCACTCCTTGCAAAAAGGCATTCGAACCTTTTGATGGAGGACATACAAGACAGACAGACAACAACATAAAGAAAACCACAGCAAATCATATCCGCAGTATGTCAGGAATATTGTTTTATCTTATTTTTATTTTACTTTCTGTAAGTTGATTCATTTATTAATGATATGTTATTTATCCATGGTCCAATTCTTTTTGAGGTTGCTAGTGCTTACATTACTGGCATGGATGTGTGCTAACTAGCAATACAGTGAAACTTTTCTTTTGAGGTATTGAGTAGGTTGCATGCTAAAATAAAAAGTAAGATCATATTTTGAATTGATAAGGAATGCTGAAGAAGTAGCATACAGAGCTGATAAGTAATGCTTGGACTAGGGGCAATTGCTTGGTGTGAGAACATAGGTTTGAGTTTGACTGTCTGAGAGCAGCCACTGGCCACCTTGTACAAGAAAATGCTGAAGGTTGGATCCTTATCCAGCCCACCCTCCCAATAACTCAGCCAGGACTAACATGGGGGAAATAACCCTTTCTATGAGTAAAGTTTCTACTTTGATTGATCAATGCCAAGTATTGCCATGTCAAGACAGTGGGTTTTAGGTGCATCATTCCTTCCTTGCTCAGTGCCCAATGGGATTATCTTCTCTTAACTTTAGTTAGGAAGGGCCAGGGGCCCATGGGCCCATGGCATCATTCGTGAGGGATCGCTTCCTTTTTATAATTAGTGGTAAGAAGTATATTGAATAAATCAGCACTGTAAAGCTGATTTCTGGGATCACTGGGTCCACCAAGCATGTAAAGCTGATTTCTAGGAGTTTTAAGACCTTTCTGTTTTGAATTTTTTTGGATTACTCTATTTCTTATTTGCACTTTCCTTGCACGATGGCTACAACACCATTCATGAGGGATCCTTGTTTCTTTGCCTTTCCTTTTTCCAAAATGAAGAATTCTTGTCTTGCACCAGGGAAATTATAAGAGTACATGGGAAATCTCTCATTGATATTGGTAATGCAATTAGTTGTTAGTTTGTTACTATTTGTCTCAGGTGAGCCAACAACTGAGTTTAGAAAGAAAGCTTGTTATAGAATATTTGTTTGTTACTTATCAATGAAGTAGAATAACTGTTTATTTTGAAGTATACCCTAACCACATTGAACTGTTGGAATTGTATTAAACTTATAAAGGCTTCTTGTTTCCTCTTTAACATTCAATTGTTTGTATTTGGTTAGGTACCACATTGTGTACAAAAATGGCAGATGGATCACAATATCCACCCTTGTTTCAGAAAATACATAGACAATCTTACCTATTTTCTAGTCTCTCCCCCAACTTGCATGCTAGGCATTTTGCAACCTATAATCTATCTGGTGCTTATATGAATGGGGGCCTTCAGAGCTCTCATCTGTCAGCATGCCGAGGCAGCAACATGCCTTTATCCCCTGTTTTTGTGCAAGCACCATCAGAGAAAGGATTTGGTGGATTTGTTATTGATTTTCTCATGGGAGGAGTTTCTGCTGCTGTTTCCAAAACAGCAGCTGCTCCAATTGAGCGTGTGAAGCTCTTAATACAGAACCAGGATGAGATGATCAAGGCTGGCCGGCTGTCTGAACCCTACAAGGGTATCACTGACTGTTTTGGAAGAACAATCAAGGATGAAGGCTTCATTTCCTTATGGAGAGGCAATACTGCCAATGTCCTTAGATACTTTCCCACACAGGTAAGTTCATCAAGTTGATGTTTGATAGATCACTTCATAATTAATCTGGACAGCTCACAAAGAGTTGGATCCAGATTTTTTATTTCTTTTATTTGTGCATTATTTAGCTGTAGTTTTTCATCAAAATCTTAGACCTGTAAAATGTGCACCAGGCCTTGAACTTTGCTTTCAAGGATTACTTCAAGAGAATGTTCAACTTTAAGAAAGACAGAGATGGCTACTGGAAATGGTTTGCTGGGAACCTGGCATCAGGAGGTGCAGCTGGTGCTTCATCTCTTCTGTTTGTCTATTCCCTTGATTATGCTCGAACACGTCTGGCCAATGATGCCAAAGCTGCCAAGAAGGGTGGTGAAAGGCAGTTCAATGGATTGATTGATGTGTACAGGAAAACCATCAAATCTGATGGGGTTGCTGGGCTCTACCGTGGATTTAACATCTCATGTGTTGGGATTATTGTATATCGTGGACTCTATTTTGGGATGTATGATTCTCTTAAACCGGTGGTGTTGACCGGTTCATTGCAGGTCAGTAAAAATATGAAATGGAAATAACACACACATGACTCGTTTCTCTCTTTCTCTAAAGAACAAAAATTTTCCTTATTTCTGTTAAGGGCATTTTAATGATCATTTGCTCTTTTATTGATGACTGCAGGATAGTTTCTTGGCAAGTTTCCTATTGGGATGGGGGATTACAATAGGTGCTGGGTTGGCATCTTACCCAATTGATACTGTCCGCAGAAGGATGATGATGACCTCAGGAGAAGCAGTTAAATACAGGAGCTCATTAGATGCATTTTCTCAGATTCTTAAGAATGAAGGTGCAAAGTCCCTCTTCAAGGGAGCAGGTGCAAACATCCTGCGAGCAGTTGCTGGTGCTGGTGTGTTGGCTGGTTATGACAAGCTACAACTGCTTTTATTTGGGAAGAAGTATGGATCTGGTGGCGGTGGCTAGCTTTGTCACTATTGTGTGGTTCTAGTCATGGTGGGTTGATTATGACGATGAAGTTTGGTCCTAATTAGTTTGTTTCTTCCCCCATTTTCAAAGATTAGAATAGAACAGTTTGTTTTCTTTTTCTTTTTTTTTTTTTTTTTGCTTTCTTAAAACAACAAAGATCTTTAATATTTCCCACTTTTAGAGAGTGAGATACTAGTTAGAGTACTTAATTAGGTGCTTGAATATAGAAATTGTAGCTTGTATCTGAGATGCAGATTCCTAGTTGTCATGTGTGTATTTTTATCTTGGCAGAGAAAGCTACTGTCCCAGCAAATGTTGTATTTGGCTGTTTCTTTTCTGTTGGAAATATACTACTGGCAACCTACATGCAGATATGCTCATATTTCTTTCTGTTTGTCTCTCTGTGTCATCTTTTCATGAACCTTTAAGCTGTGTTTGGATTAGTATGGAATATAAGTGTGCCTTTGGTTCTACCATTTAGACCTGGTCATGGGCCGGGTCGGGCTGGGCTCAGGCTGGGCTTTTAGTCTTCATTAACGGAAAAATGATAGGCCCGACCCTGAGTCCGGCCCGACCAACGGGCCAGAACTTGGGCCCGAGCCCGGCCCTGACAAAAAGCCCAAAGCCCGAGCCCGAGCCTGAGCCCGTAGTTTGACCTAATAAAAGAAATTAAAATTTTTCCCTACATTATCTATTTTAATTCAGATATTTTCCCCCTATTTAAATAAACACAATTTTACATTCTTAAATCAAAAAAATTATTCAAATGGACATTACATAACCCATTTTAATTTCATTCTTTTTTTCTTACAATCAAGTGAATCAACAACCTTCTTTAAGGTTGTTTAATATATTCCCAGTTGTTTGGTTGTTTCTATACAACCAAGGCAAACCTGAAATAAAACACATAAGAGGCTTAAGAGCAAATCATATAGGTTCATATTCCTACAAATAGCATCACACACTAAAACTAAATTCATATAACTTCAAGTTCATGTTCCTCTAAAGTCATAAAAAAATAATCTGAATAAAACAAGAAAAATCCATAAAACATGTTCTCCATCCATTCTTGAATTCACCAACAAGATGGAATATTCCAACTCTCAAGTTCTAAGTCATTCTAAAAAATAAAATAAAAGACTTCATTGCCCATATGGAATATTTGCCGCCTCGCCGGTTGTAGCTACTTGAGAGTGTGAAGATGAGAATTGTGGAGTGTGGAATGGAGATTGGAGATGAAGGGTTCGACTGGGAAAAAGAATGGGAAGAGGCAAAGAGGTCTAGGGGTTTTACTTAGGTTTAACTATAGGTCGGGCCGGGCCGGGCTATTTTGGCAAATCCCGAGCCCGGCTCGAATTTATTGCGGGTCGGGATTTTTGGCCCAAGGTTAAGCCCGCGGGCCCATATACCTGTTCAAGCCCGTCCGGGGGCCGGGCCGGCCCATGAACAGATCTACTACCATTGTGATCATTTCATTGGCAGAGCAGAAAGTTGACACGATCATTTTCTTTATTTTTTTCTCCTCGTGCAGTTTGCTATTGTAATATGATAGTGACTGTAAAATGGATTTGCTTAAGACATGACCTTACCCGGCTTCTGTAGCTGTTACTGTCTAGTTTCTTGTTGCTTCTGTTTCTGTTTAGTTTCTTCTGCTCTAATGAATATGTTTTTCCACTAAAAAAAGGCCTTTGCATTATTTTGCTGCACTTGGGGGTCTGGAAGATCTGAAATCTGGTTTGGTCTTCACAAGACCATGCTCACACTGGTCGCATAAAAAAAATATACAAGTACGAAAATATTTTCAATGCATGGTTGTAAATGACTGTAGAACGGTGTAAACATGGTCTTGTGAGCACTGAATCCGATCTGGAAAGATCTCTAGGGGAATATTTGGGAAGAGTAAAGCTAGAAGCTCGAGTTTGGATTTGGTTCACAGAACCGTACTCACACTGTCCTCACACCCTATTGCTGCTCTGAACACTGCATTGAGAATATCTACAAAGATATTCCCAATGCACAGCTGCAGTAAGCTGGGAGACGGTGTGAGCACGGTTCTGTGAGCACCAAATCCCATCTCAGAAGCGCAGCCTTTGGGTTGGTCAACTGTCTTTGGATACAACGCCATGAACACTGTTGTTTTTTTAGTATATATATAATGGTGCTGTTTCCAATCCGGATCCAGTGCGTTAGGCTCTCGAAGGAGGATTCTCGTCGATTCTGGTTATGTACTTATGTTTCAACATGTCATGAATGAGTCGCTCAGTGTCCTCTGATTCCCTTATGAGATTCGAGAAAATTGACAATAGAGCTCTTCATGGGCCGGACCCTGAACTCGAACCTGTCCCGAGTCCGGCCCAAAAAATAATTGGGTATGGTGATTAGAGCCCAATCCCATGGGTCTAAATTTTTGCCCAAGCCCAATAAAGAACTAGCCCGGTAATCCATCAATCTATCTACAGGTCTACTTGATAATCAAATTGCAATGAAGCCATCGGCATTTTATAAAATTTGGATCAGCCATCAGGAAGGCACAAGCAGCCATTGCAGACATGCAAGCATAGGAACATCTCACCATAAAGGACAAGGACAAGGGAGACCCACCGGCCACCACCTTTAAGATTAAGATAATTGCTGGTCTCGAGATCTTAAACTTGAAGTGGAATTGTGGAACAGCGATTGTTGTTGACTGAATATCGCACTTGAGATCTCCATTAAAGAGCGAAATGGTGGAACAGTGGAACAGGATTCATGTCCATCATCAAGATTTCATCCATTTATAATTGGATTGAATATGTTATAATATGATGTGATAATGTTTTACATCTATAAATGTTTCTATCAGTGAAGTTGGTCTGGAAGTTGAAAATAAAGTAATAACCATCAAGGCATCCATCAGAGTTCAAACCAAGCTTTTTGAATCTCTTCAAACTCAAGCAATGACTCTCACCCTCTTGCCATAGCCACAGACCTACAACCACCACGAGATCAAAAATGGAGGGAGGGACGTCCTCATCGTGCATATCTCCTTGTCTTCTCATTTCTCACACCAACCTCCCCCTATCAGGTGTAACTCAGGTGTTTGTATAGACCGTCTGCTAACAGCCCAGATGGTATGATCAAATCTTTAGGCGTCCATCAACTAGTCAATTGAAGGTTTTAACTGTGCAAAAAGTTTCACATAAAAACAAAGTTCACAAGCTAAAAGGCTTCACTATGTTTTCTTTCAATCCCACAATTGTAAACATTTGTCAGACAAAGATACTGGGCAGTGCAGAAATGGTGTCTTCTTCTTCCTCCTCCTCCATGACCACCACTGCTTTAACCCTGTTAGTGTTACTACTAAGCTTATGCTACTTATCAGACAAACTCCTCGCTGGATCCGATGCCAGCAACTCAACTACTCCGAACCATCTTCACCACTTCATGAACCAGAGACTCCACCAAGCTTACTTCGCCCTTCAAGCATGGAAGCATGTAATCTACTACGACCCCAAAAACTTCACCTCCAACTGGATCGGCCCCTTTGTCTGTGATTACACAGGAGTCTACTGTGCAAACTCTCCCAGTGACCCTTCAATCCAAGTAGTTGCAGGAATCGACCTCAACCATGCAGGCATCACTGGCTTCCTTCCCGACGACCTGGGTCTCCTTTCTGACCTTGCACTACTGCACCTCAACAGCAATCAGTTCTATGGCTTTCTGCCATCTTCATTAGCTAATCTCACCCTTCTCTTTGAGCTAGACCTCAGCAACAACAGATTTGAAGGCCGGTTTCCCTCCGTGGTTCTGTCTCTTCCTTTTTTAAAGTTCCTGGACCTTCGTTTCAATGAATTTGAAGGGCCATTGCCTCCTGAGCTCTTTAACAGAGATCTGGATGCAATATTCGTCAACAACAATCGCTTCACCTCTGTTCTTCCATCCAACTTGGGTGGAAGTAAGGCATCAGTGGTGGTGTTTGCCAACAACAACCTAGGGGGATGCCTTTCACCAAGCATTTCCAAGTTAGCGAATAGCTTGGAGGAGCTGTTGTTGATTAACACCAACTTGTCTGGTTGTCTACCTCCAGAGATCGGGCTTCTCTATAAGCTCAGAGTGTTGGATGTGAGCTTTAACCAGTTCGTTGGTCCCATACCTCACAGCGTTGCAGACCTATTTCAGTTGGAACAACTTAATTTGGCACATAACAACTTTAGCGGTACAGTACCTGCAGATATTTGTGCACTGCCGAAGTTGGCAAATTTCACGTTCTCTTACAACTTCTTCTGTGAGGAGGAAGGGCTTTGCTGGAATCTGACATCCAAAGGAATTGCTTCCGATGATCGCCAGAATTGTTTACCGGAGAAGCCATTTCAGAGGACCAAAGAAGAATGTGATGCAGATCTGGAGCACCCTGTGGAGTGCCTTGATTATCACTGTAGCATTGGCGGTGGTGGTCAATCGCCTTCACCTGCACCTTCTGGCCATTATTAGCCAAAGAATTACTTTTTATATGTTGACATTTTCCATGAAAATTTTTTGGTCTCTCTCTCTCCTAATTGGTTGATAACTTTATGAAGTAATTGGCCTTTAAGGCTCAGTTTGAAAGGAGTACAAATGCAAATATGTAGATTGCAAAACCTTATATTTTATATGTATTTGCAACCGTACATATTTGCATCGTACTCTTTCCAAAACTAAGCATAAATTGCAAATTGCAAATTTGCAATAAAGCAGGCTTGCATTACCCGATGGCTACAGTAGTTGTTATAGAAAGCCAGGGAAACAACTAGGTTTACTGTTTACATGAAAGAAGACGGTGTAAACTGATAAGCTCTGGTGAGGGGGTGGTGGTGGTCTGACTCCAAAACTCCCGAGGGGAATGGCGATAGGAAAAGTCGGTGGTTGCAGTGATGGGAGTCTTGGGAGATAAAAGGAAGAGAAGAGGAGAGAGAAAATGTGGATTTTTCCTCCTCTATAATGGGTGTATTGGGTATGTTCATAATGGATTTTTATGAATTTAGGCCCCATCTGATTCGCACAGGAATAGGGGTCTGGAATCGGAATCGGAATGGGTTATTCTGATTCCAACTGTTTGGTTATCCCATTCCCATTCCTGCTGAAATGGCATTCTCCCATTTCAAGGATTGACCATTCCTTGCCCCTCCCTTGGGAATGAAATTCCATTCCTGCTGATTTTAATTCTTATTCCCATTCATGTCTGAACCAAATAGATTATGGGAATGGACCATTCTAATTTCGATTCCGATTTTGATTCTGAATTCGACTACAAACCAAACGAATCCTTAATGTTAATGAATCCCATTATGAGTATTAAATTATAATGATTTTAAACTCTTATAATTTCTAAAGTTTCCTATATTTTGGAAGGAGTACAAATACAAATATGTACAGTACAAATACATACTGATGAAGGTGGATTTGGCCCTCCAATGACATTGTGACACTTGACACATCTTGGCAACTAAGTACAACCTTTTGACAGCTCGGCAGCTCGCCACTAGGTAGCTCGCCATCATGTAGCCTGGCATCTCAGAACAACTAGGCGACACCCGGGACCACTTTGACAACATGTCTTTGCTAAGTTGATGGTGTCCCACCAGGCGTAGCCTGGCACAGGCGCAGCCTGGCCCTGGCACGAGCTGACAGCCTGGCCTTGGCGTGACTTGGCCCTGGCACGAACTAGCAGCTTGGCTCTAGCACGAGTTGGTAGCCTGGCCCTGGCGCGACCTGGCCCTGGCACGAGCTGGCAGCCTGGCCCTGGCGCAAGCTGGCGTCCTGGGCCACGCGCCAACCTGACAACCTCGAGGAACACACAACCGTACTCCGCATTTTACGGGATTGTGACTTGTAACGGCTATATTAGCTCACCCACTCCCCGAGTCAGGCAGAAATGGGCAACCTTACCAGTTGGTGGCTTTATCCCAACCTAACACGAAAGCAAGTCCCATCACAGCGGGAATCCAGGAACTGCTCCACCTAACCCACGAGGACTCCAGTATATAAAGACCTCACCCCCCAGGGGCAAAGTGGGAGATGCGAAAAAAGGATGGTAACCCAAGCTCTCTCATTCTCTTATATCATTTTCAGCTCATTACTGTGTGCTAACTTAGCCATCGGAGTGACCTCTACGGCATGGGCAACACTATTGCTGAAAGACCCAGTCGCCTCTACGGCATGGGCAACACTACTGCTGAAAGACCCAGTCGTTTCTACGGCATGGGCCACACTACTACTGAAAGACTCAGTCGTCACCTTTACGGCATGGGCAACACTACTGCTGAAAGACCCAGTCGNCCCAGTCGTTTCTACGGCATGGGCCACACTACTACTGAAAGACTCAGTCGTCACCTTTACGGCATGGGCAACACTACTGCTGAAAGACCCAGTCGCCTCTACGGCATGGGCAACACTACTGTTGAAAGACCCAGTCGCCTCTTCGACATGGGCAAAGTTCAGGAGTGGACTACAAGATGTTCCCAAAGCCTAAAGGCCACAATACTGCACAAGACCCAGCCACCTCGTCGGCATGGGCAAAGTCAAGGAGAGTGGATTACAAGTCGCTCCCAGAATCTAAGGGCTCAAGTACCGAATTGGCAGAAACCTCGGCCCCTCACGGGCAGTGCGCTTCCAAGCAACTCCCAGAGCCTAAGAAACTGAATTAGCGCCTACAAGCTCATCGAATTACGGGCCAAAAGAAGAAATCTACTCCCTTCACCGAGTTACTTTCAACCCGGGAGTGGGGGGCAAATGATGAGGGCGGATTTGTCCCTCTAATGACATTGTGACACCTAGCACATCTTAGCAACTAAGTACAACTTCTTGACAACTAGGTAGCTCGCCACATGCAGCTCACACAGGTAGCTCGCCACTAGGTAGCTCTCCATCATGTAGCCTAGCACCTCAGAACAACTAGGCGACACCTAGGACCACTTTGACAACAACTTGCCTTTGCTAAGTTGGTGGTGTCCCACCAGGCGTAGCTTGGCACAGGCACGACCTGGCCCTGGCACGAGCTAACAGCCTAGCCCTGGCGTGACCTGGCCCTGGCACGAGCTGGCAGCCTGGCCCTGCACGACCTGGCCCTGGCACGAGCTGGCAACTTGGCCCTGGCACGAGCTAGCGGCCTGGGCCATGTGCCAACTTGACAACCTCGAGGAACACACCACCGTACCCTGCATTTTATAGGATTGTAACTTGTAACGACTATATTAGCTCACCCACTCCCCGAGTCAGGCGGAAATAGGCAACCTTACCAGTTGGTGGCTTTATCCCCACCTAACACGAAAGTAGGTCCCATCACAGCGGAAATCTAGGAACTGCTCCACCTAACCCACAAGGACTCCAGTATATAAAGACCTCACCCCCTAGGGGCAAAGAAGGAGATGCGAAAAAAGGATGGTAACCCCAACTCTCTCATTCTCTTATATCATTTTCAACTCATTAGTATGTGCTAACTTAGCCATCGGAGTGACATCGCTGGGTAGACACCCCCGGGTTCTCTGATTTAGTTCTCGCAGGTCCCTCAACCCCCGCCGCTTACAAAGATGAGCAGATCACCTCCAAGCATCTCATCAAGGCAGCTCACCTCCAGGCAGCTCATCAAGGTAACTCACCTCCAGGCAGTTCACCACTAGGGAGCTCCACTTCAGCCTTTGAGTCATCGACCACATGGGAGCAGATGAGATGACGAGGTACTTAGCCAAAAAATTGACACATCACGAAAAAATGATACGTGACCCGGAAACGGTTACATCACATACAAAATGCAATGTTTTGCAGTCTACATATTTGTATTTGTACTCCCCTTCCAAACTGAGCCACAATTATTTTAAAATATTCTAACACTTAAACTGATACAAACAGCTTTACTTTAGTAAATAATAAATTTGAATCCATCCGGTCTGATTCGAGTTCATGCCGAGTCAGCCCACATTCATGTACTTGAATAAATTCACTCTGTTACACAAGAAGTTTCTTTTTGGTAATGGGGAGATAGGGAAGTTCAACAAAGTCGATATCCGCTGCAAGTTCAACCAAGTCCCGACGATGATCAAATTGAGAAACTGGGTGCCACCTCAGGAGATTGCTATCGATAAGCATCAGTTTTTGAGAGTATGATCATCAACTTACCTAGAAGTCCTAGCTACAAAGTAGCTTAATGAAATCATCATTTCCTTTGTCTCCCTTCATCATTTTTAATTTTTAGTTTGTACAGAAAAGGTAGCACTGGGGTGAAAAATCTTCATTGACTAATTTGTTTTCATGAAAGAGGATTACAACATGAGAGAACAATGAATGGACTACAAATCCCTTATCAAGACAAGAACAAGAAGCTTGCATACCAAAAGTTCTCGGTATAAAATCTAACTTAAACAAATGATTCCCACTGGTCTCATCATTTCCAGAGTTCTTCCATGGGGATCCCACGCTCACGAGCAACATCACGGAACTGTCTCATCTTCTGAACAGCAACTACAGTTGCTCTGGCATTGTTGAGAGCATTCTTACTCCCAAGCTGTTTCCCCAGAGCATTCTCCACACCTGCCATTTCTAAAACGATTCGCACAGCTCCTCCAGCAATCACACCAGTACCAGGTGAAGCAGGTCTCAGCATCACTTTTGCTGCCCCAAAATCTCCATCAGATCTGTCATCATTTTGGCAAATTTAATAGAATTAATATATTTGATCACATGAAACTTTTGCCAATAAAATATAAAAAAATAAATATAAACCTTGGCAAGACAGAAGGAACCTAACAACTTACTATTTCTCTGAAACAAATGCAGAAACCAAGGTAGATGCACTTACATGTATGCATATAAAATTAAATTTTCTTTTTGTTCTTTTCTCTTAAATTAAATTAAAATGAAGAAAGAATGCTCAAAAAATAGAAACAGAAGCAGAAAACTCAAAACTCCTGACAGAGGATGATAAAATTGAGCTCAGCAGCTCAAATTAGAAAAATAATTTGATAAAACTTCAATAACCATGATTTGCAATGGATCTAGTCCTAGAGTGAAAGGAAAAAAGTTTAGAAATGCCCAATAAAATACTGACAAAGAAAGATTCACAAACTGGAATTTGATTCATCTTCCTACAAAAGAATAAAAAATAAACAAGGAAATGATAAAGGAAGAATTAGACCTAGAGCAACAAGAATTAAAGTGTCAGTCTAGAGAATCCACCAAGTTCATAACATATGAGAGAAGTCTGTCAGTACTAAGGACTGCAAATCAGTTGGTTAATGCTAACTGAGACTAAGACAATGGAAATTACATGTAAATTAGCCACACAATGACTCCATAAAACATTTTGTGTGTCAGCCAAATGTAAATCACCAGACAAACTTAACTCAAACTTGACTTAACCAAGACATCTCAGATAACATGGCTTCATATTCTTGGTCTAGATCAAAGGAATCCTCCCATCTGAGAGTCAAACTAGTTCGAGATAACTAATATGTAGAATTCAACGTGTAGTCAAGACTAAAAACCTAGATGTTGACTCAACCATGTTAAAGGCTCTAAAAGCGTGGACGCTCACTTAACAGAAGATACAGCCCTTAAGAGAATGAGTGGTAACACAGGATTCATTTAGCCTTTTTCCAAATAATCAGAATAAAGTTTGTTCAATTGACTTCTATATATGAGTAGAAACCAAAGTCAAGGTATCCCTCCACAGCTTTATAATTTGGAGATTAAGATTTTGTTTTTCATACATGGTCACTATATCCATGTTTTCATTGGTTGGATGAAGCCTAAGCTACAGCATTTCTGTAGCAAAAAATGAACTCAAATAAATGGGGGCAAGAATTAAGTAGGCCCAGTTCATGGTGCAACTATGTAATTTCAGAATGATTTTTGCTTTATAATTCAAGTATTCAACTGTCAGGGAGAGAAGAAAACAGTCACTTGGGCTGCTGCATAATTTGCCATCAGAAAATGCTTGATCATTCCCAAGAAAAGAAACTCGATTGATTCCTTTTCCTTGGTAACAAGAGGACTGAAATAGAGCAACACATAAATCAAATAAACATACTGATAAACTTAACGGGCATAATATCCAATCAAATTCTAGTTCATTTCCTTGTCTTATCTCTTATGGAACAATTAATCGCTTGATTCGATAGTATTGGTTTATTGGCTGATCATTATTGATTTCCAGACTAAATAAAGAGCTTCTCAATTCTTAATCTCACTCTCATGAGTCACATAGACCATAGTTTTCTACTCTATCTAGGACTCAATTCTGCATATGTAAGGCTTCCCAACTGCTTCCTGTCACTAGATTAAAGTGTGCTAGCCTATATTTATAGAGGTTGGCTCCATTCAACCTCTATTACAGTCCACAGATATACAGATGCAAACAGAAGATTCTGAGAAAAGACTAATAATTAGAAGGATATAGAATAAAAGCAATAATTCAGTCCTCAAGGGGGTACACGTATTAGTTCCCAGTAGCAACAATAAGAACTTGAACAGAACAAGGGACTAACCACTCAATCACGCAGGGCTACTGTCACTTATGATAAAACATCTTATTTAAAATTCAGAGAACTAAACAAAGTCACAAATTCAGACACTGTAGAACTTGATCGAGCAAGATTTTCCAGCAAAACAATTTTGAAAGATTTTTCTCTAGATAATGGTTTGGCATGATTGGAGGGTAAAGGAATTGAGTTCTAAGTCAAGTTTATCCATTCAGTTCTCACTAAAATATCCATCAGAAACGCACATAATTCCACCCCTAAATTCATTATTTACTGAAAATCTCAATCATAAGAACATAATCCCAATTGAGGAACAAATAACAAAGAAAAAAAAATCCTTGGTTGAGTTACCTACCTGTGAGGGAAAGTCTTGTACTTCGTCATCGGCACAGTAATGAGATTCCTCCGGGCATTCGTCGCCGACTTCTGAACGGCCGCAATGACCTCCTTGGCCTTCCCTACACCAACTCCCACCTGCCCCTGCTTATCCCCAACCACGACAATAGCCCTGAAATGCAGTTGCTTCCCACCCTTAACCACCTTAGTCACCCTTCTCACCTGAACCACCCGTTCCTCAAACCCGTCTCTCACCTTCTCCCTCTTGGTCTTCGACCCAAACCCACCTGTCTTCTTCACCTTAGAATTCATCACATAGATGTCACTGCCGAGCACGCTCTCACCGCTATAAGCGGGTCCGTAAAGCTCCTCATACGCAGCGGCAATCTCATCCTCCGTCTCCGATGGACCCTCGTCAAAGGCCGGAGGGGGCACGTAGCCTTCCGGAGGCTCAATGGGTTCGAAAGTGATATCACCTTCCGGGTCTACTTGGTCGAAGAATGTAGTATCGATGTCGTTGGACTTCGCTTGACAGGGTCTGATCTTGTGGGGTTTTGAGGAGAATGAGAGAGAACATGTTGTTGAGGGTATTGGTTTGCTGGTTTTGACGAGTGAGAAGGCGAAGTTGGTGGTCAGGGGCTCTGAGGAAACCTTGAAAAACGAACTTGGGTGAGATGTGCGGACAGACAGTGACGAGAACGAAGACAGGGCAATTGAAGAGGCAGCCATTGCTGTGAATAGAAAGGAGAGATTGGAGGAGGAGAGGGTGAATAGATCGATAAACCAATCTCTTCTGCAAGTTCGAAATAGTTAAGTAGAGGCTTATCTATCCAGATGAACCATCGGAGCCTTTTTGAGGGTGATGTGTCATGTGTAGACTTGTAAGTTGGAACTATTATGGACGATAAAAGGCCGTCTGCAAGTGAGCTACATTGGGCTTGGATTAGCCATTTCAATTTGTGGGCTGAAGTGGGCCTTCGGGGAGGTTGGTCAGTGTATATTGTTTTGTTCATCCTCCAACTCCAAATAAACTAAGGTTGTTGAGATTCCGAGGTTTTAGATGTTTATCAGAAAATGGAGTTTAATCAATGGAAATGCATCTTACAATTAGTTTTTCAAAATTATTATTCTAATAAAACAGTTATTCTATGATAATTATCGTGTTGCTGTTTGGCCAAAGCTAAGGAATATTACTGGGGCAGACCCAGTTTTTGATAAATCAAGCATAAATAAACTATCCTTAAACCATGATTGATATAGAGGATAAATATTAATGTTTATAGGTTCAAATGAAATTTATAAGAAAACGAAAATTGATAATCATCTGTTCTTTTATTCCACTTTATTATGAATGAACAATAAGCAATTTATATATAACTATGCATTTGTGCGAGTAAAGAGCAATTATACAATTTAATATTATACAATCAAATTTAATTTAAATTTTATGACCTGCACTAAATTTAAGGCAAATATTGGCTTTCTATAGTATACATAAGTTATATTAAAAAAAAAAATCAAAGTTTTATTGGGTTTAGGTGATGGCCATATTAGGGGTTGATATTTGCTCAATCCACTCAGCAATCTGCTCATTTATTTAATGGGTTTGAAATGGGCTGAATGACCCTTTTGGTCAACTTAAATGGGTTGGATTGAATTGGCTATGTTCATTGTTTTTGACTTTTTTCTTAAAAAAAAAAAACTGTTTTTATTGTGTGTGTCCCCATAAGAAAGTCTCATGATTTGTGTAAGTTGCAACTAGACTTCTTCGTGGGCCGATTGTCCGCCTGCTCAGCCTGGTCCATTCTTTATCGAGCTTTGGACGAACCATGGGCTCAGGTTCAAGGCTCTAGATACCAGGCCTGACAATATTTTATATATATATATATATATATATATGTACAGATTGGGGTTCAGATTCGGGTTCAGGCCTGGTCATTTTTTGTTAATAAATAGACAAAATCGACCTGACTCAAAGGAGATTAAATTTTGATAACAAAAGTAAACAAAGCATAGATAATGAGATTATTTTCCAACGACTCTATTCTTTCTGTTTGACACAAGCAATGGCATTCATGAAATTATTGTATAAAGAAAGATCATAAACATTGAAAGAGGGAAGCATCTCTAATTCACTAAAGATGTTATCGAAGTCGTCAACCCTTGGCCTTTGATCAGCAGGTTGTTCACTTTTCTTCATTGATGAGGGCTCTGGAACTTCCTTCCCTGGTTGGGTTGAAGTACCACCAGCAATGTCCTTATTGTCTTTCATTGCTTTCTCTTCTGAAACTCTTGACATTAGCTTTTTGCCTTTATTCACTACTTCCTCTTCTGAAGTCCCCTTAGATTTCTTCTCAGCAGGTACTGATGCTCCATGTCCGACCTCTCTGATCTTTCTCTTAAGAGGGGAATAAAATTTTCCTTTATTCTCTTCCATTTCTTTTATAAAAGTTTCAAGAATGGTTCCTCTGCCCTTTTAACACAGACGATTGATTTCATACACAAACAAACTTCAAAGTTAAGAATCTGTTATTGGATACAAAGGATGCTCAATAATTTAAACATATATATGGCATAAAATTGTATCCAAGATATTAGATTCTTCATATTTGACAAATTTCGTCTATCCATTTAATGAACCCAAGAAATTAATGTCCACTTTTAACATGAGCTCAAGAATACTGAGAACCCATGAACTGAAACCAATTATTTGATCATTCCCAACATGATTTGATCTTTGAGAAATTGAGATATTGCCACTAGCTATATGGTAGATTTTCCATGAAGAGATTTCAGTAAAGGATATAGTCATTTCTAAATCCATTTGGCATCTTCCACTAATAATTCTAGTTAGGTTAGGTCTAGTATATGCTAGTCAAGTTGAGTTGAGATTGTATTGAGCCTTTTGTCATCTCCATTTATGAAATTAATAAGCGTGCATGTGTTTTGCATGTGGCAATCTTTGAAGAAGATGATGATAAATAATATATCTCCAATTTTTTATTTTATACTTTGTGTGTATAAAAATTATTCTTATTTGTAACACTTATTTTTGTTTAATATGATGAGTATACATTATTAGAGATTTGCTCAAATGTTTTCTACAATTTATTTTTCTATTTTTATAATTTTTTGTGTTTTCATATTTTTTTAGTTCTTATGATTATTTTATTATGACATCTAAGATTGGCATATTTGACCCAAAAGGTTGAATTGTTAATTCATCATCAAACAGGAAAGCAACTCCATTTCTGGGTTGGATTTAAATTTATATTTTATTTCTATCATCCATAAAAAACAATTATTCTTTGTTATACTTATTTTTTCTTAATATAGTTAATGAATATAGAATCCAACGAAAGAACGTGAGTTAATACCTTAAAAATAAGACTTAATGAGAGGGAATTGGCCGACGAAAAGAAATTTAGTAGTTCAAATTACATTTTGTGCCCTCACAATTAGAAGGACCAAATTAAAAAAATAGAGATATTCTAGTCAAGAATAAAATTCAATGAATAGTAATAGAAATTAATAACTTAAATAAAGGACTTAATGAGAGGGATATAAATGAGAAGAAAAGAGGTTATGCAAATTACATTTCTATCATTACAATTAGAGAGGGGCCAAATTAAAAAGAAAAAAGTTGGATGGTGGGATAATTTACCTATCATCTAATCATATTTTTGGATCTTTCACATTTTTATATAATATGATGAATATTAACTTTTCTATAAATTTTATGAAAATTTCTATATAATTGTATTTTTGTATTTTTATATTAAATTTATGACAACATAGGTTGACTTGTTTTATCCAAATGGTTGAATAGTAGGCCCACCACCTAGAGGGAACTACAATTTCAATAGATTTTTAAAACATTGAATTTTATTAGTATATTTAAGGTTAGTAGGATTAATTAACTCGTCACTGAACCAAGATTCCATATTCTATATCTATTTCACCACCAAACTACTTGCTTAGGCTCAGTTTGGAAGGAATACAAATACAAATTTGTAGAGTGCAAAACCTTGTATTTTGTATTATTTTGTATGTATTTATACAATACATATTTGGAAGGAGTTCAAGTACAAATATGTACTGTACAAATACATACAAAATAATGCAAAGTACAAGGTTTTGCACTCTACAAATTTGTATTTGTACTCCTTCCAAACTAGGCCTTAGGAAAAAAACTATTGACTTGGTTAACAACCCAATGACCTAACTAATTGGTTGGTAGGATCAATCAACCCATCATTTATTTCACCACTAAATTACTTGCCTAGAAAAACTATTGACTTGGTCAACAACTTGATGACTTGACTAATTGGACTATTTAACACAATAAACAGGTCAAAAGTTAGTTAGATATTATTTCTCTCTTTTTTTTCTTTGTATTCTGTTTTGATCATTATGCTCAGTTTGGAAGGAGTACAAATACAAATATGTAGAGTGCAAAACCTTGTATTTTGTATTATTTTGTATGTATTTGCACTATACATATTTGTATTTATACTCTTTCCAAATTCAACCTTAATAAAATAATTATTACTATCACACTTATTTTTGTTCAATATGATGAATATGAAATATTAGATATTGACAAACTTTTTCTACAAATTTTTTGTATCTTTTGTAATTGTATATATTTTCCTATTTTATAAATATTATTGTTTAATTATGATGTCATGAGTTGACCTAACTCGGACAGTTAAACTCTGGCCCACCACTAAGATGGAAAACAGCGATTTCATTTACAAATTAGTTTTAAAAGCATTTACAAAGTTAATTGGTGGAATTTAATAGCGAAAAACAAAACGCCTTAAATAAATGGGAATTAATACCTTAACCGTAGGAGTTATGGGAGAAATTAGGTTGAATGGAAAAGTAGCAGTTCAAATTATATTTACTTCTTTCACAATTAAAGTTCAAAGTATTGATACTCTCAATATACAAATTTTGTGCATTGAGAGTTTCCTTTGATAAAAAAAAAATTACTCTTTGTTTTGAGGTTTGATAATTTGATAGGAAACCTATCACATCACTTATCAAAGTTTTAAATCATTGAAATCATCTAACTCTTCTTATTTAGCCTATAGATGACCTTGAAAACCGATGCATATGGATTGATATGCACTAATAGAGAGGGGCTAAATTCAAAAATAGGGGTATTGCAGTCTCGGAAATGTACTGAAACACTCAAGGTCCATTCCCATTTTTTGTAGTAGTATCTAAAAACAAATATTTCTTTTTCAAGAACAATTTATTCATTCAATATCTACTTCTTTGGAGTAGTCCTTAGACAAGACTTCTCTTGCCCACCTTAGGAAGTACTTCCAGTAATTGGTCTAAAAGATCACACAACCTATCATCACTTATAAACCTAATTTTATTAATCAAAATATAATTGCAAGATTAGGATTTATTTTTCTATTTTTTTTTTTTTGAGGGGGACTATAAGTCTTGTCCTTGCATTTTGTTGTGTTCTTATAATAATCCAACACAAACAATACTGAAAGCAACATATTTGAGATCAACCATTTCTATTACTCTATCAAAATAAAATATTTTTCATCAATTCTTCCAAATAAATATGACAATATCATCCACTAACACAATTAAATATTAATGAAGGAGATTTCTTAGACTAAACTCTTTATTAGAAAACTTAAGCAAATTAAATTACAAAGGATATCTATCAAGAACCAAGATATATATCTATTCAAAAGCATTAAAGAAATCACCAACCAAATGTACATAATCACTATAGATTATCTTTGCATGTATTATTCACATGATCTCCTCTGTCTTCTCTAATGGAAATTGAGATGTAGAATCTAGCTAATAAGAT